TCAGTGCCCAACTTTCCACCATCTGTCAAGGAGTTATCTCTAGATCTATATGGGTGAGATTTCTTTTCTTTCAGTAACTTCTGGAAGTACATAAGAATTCCAACCCTTTGCAGTGTAAACTGTAAGTTGGGGTTATGAGGGTACCTGTTGAATGAATAGAAAATATGGGCATCTCAAAATGGGAGTGTTGAATACAACACTTGTGACTAAATAAAATTACAAAGTCCTTAGAAAACAGTGATGCTGGTGCCTCCACACAAACTAGACAGGCTGTGCTTTGCTTTTTTTCATTTTTTCTTTGTTAATTCTGCAGAAGTGAAATGGAATGGACTGCCCACTAGACAGAAACAAGCTGAAAGAAACAGTTTGTGTATTCCAGTAGGATTCATGTGCAAGGTCTGCAGGCATGTGGCGTTCACAGAGCCAGAAGCAGATCTCTAAAGCACAGGCAGAACTTTGTAAACATTGGAGCTTAGCAGGGTTCTGAGACGAAAGAGTGGATTCACTGGAAGGATCTGCAGAAAGCAGAAGCTTGTTAAGATCTGCCTACCGCAATGCCATTAATCTTTTGATTTCTCATCAGCAAAAAGGGCATGGCAGTCCCTTCGTAATGCATAAAGGCATTGACAGACTAAGCATTATGAAGGTTATGAAGTATTTAAATACAGTGATAATGGAGCTCAGAGCTGAGTGCCCAGCACCCTGGAGTCTGGAAGTCTCGGCTTTCTGGCACCTCACCTAGCAGCTGGCCCAGCCAGACAACCACCAGGCAGTCAGACCAGCTGGGGCTGATTAAAGGTCTTCTGACCTTATTTTATATGGAGCAAAACAGATATATTATTTAAGGAAAGATCAGATTTTAATCAAACAAGCATTTTTCTGGCAAAAAAACAGCACATGACCAAAACAACAGCACTCAAGAATCCTAAATCAGTTCTGTTACTGTGTAGAACAGTGCATCAAGCACCTCTAATATACCACGTGGCAAATCAAAACTAGTAGACTGATGAACTGACTTAAAGTTTCCCTTTAATCAGTTACAGAAATTGCTGATAATGTAAAAAAAAATAAATCAGTGTCAACGTTAGTGAATGCACATTTATAGATGCTTTCAAAACCCTGCAAACAATCATTGAACACTGATAAAATTCTCCAAAAGTAATGCAGTATGGGTTGAGTGAGTCAAGGACTTTTAGCATCACTCCTGGCATGCTTGCGTTAGATGTACTTACACACAGCACAGCGCAGTATGGAAGCACCTCGCAGACAATGCTCTGGGGAATCCTCCCAGAAGAGCTGGTGGGAGGGCAAGCACTATCGTCTTTTTGTAGATCAGATCCCAAGACATACAGAGTAAAGGCTCAGCAAGAGTCTGCTGGGTATTGTACCCGGGCTGCAATCAGGGACAGCTTTCAAGAGCAGAATCGGGGAACAGAAAGACAAAGTGAGAGAGCTCTCCTGCCTTATGTAGAGTGATTCTCTAGGAAACCTTTAGTGGGGGGTTTGGAGTAGATGATCTCCAAAAGTCCCTTTCAACCTCTCCGACTATGGAATTCAATAGGCATGTATTTTACTCCTCTAACCTTTGCTGTACCCTTGAGATTGTTCCTCTGTGTGCCTACAAGGGCCCCAGTTGAACAGCTCCACATTGCTCGTATCACAGGTCTCAGGCAGGGCATCCTCAGGACAGACAAAATTAAGCCTTTTGCTTTATTCAGCTGTTCCCAGTATTTGACATATGTTTGCTTTCCAGATAGAGAATGTCCTTGTGAAACAAAAGTGTTAGTCTACTGAGAGACAAAAAGCTAGGTCAAATAAAACATTTATATGCCTAAAGGAAAAGCATTTTAGCTGTATCACCTTTATAGTCTGTTGGCTAAAGCACTCAGTGAGGAAGTGGGAGACTTCAGTATTAATTTCTTACTCCAATGGACTGAGTTGAAAGGGATGCTGTGCTGAAACTGTTACATCATAGAGGAAATCATTTGAAATTTTGGGTGAAAGGCATAGAGAACAAAATCAAGAATAGGGTGTACCTGCATCCTAGGGTTAACCTCTGTAGTGAGTGCCATACAATTAAAAAACTGTGAGGTTCTTATTTCCCTGACTCATGCCACTTGTTAGAGATCACAGGAGAAAAACTACTTCTCATGGCCTGACTTTAATTAATTAGAAGGGGTTAACAGAGCTAACAGAGGGAAATACAAATCTTTTTTCTTCCCTGTTGTCAATGGAATTTACAGTTTTCACAGTCAGCAGAGAGCTGCCAGGAAAGAGTATCACAGAAAATGAACGACTGCTGTTCACAAAAATGCTGAAACACTTAAAATTAATTGATTTTGACAAAGCAGGCAGCTACATTTTTGTACTTTACATTCAGGACCTGTAATAAAGCACTTTTTAAAGAGAGCTTCATATAGACAAATTGAATTAAGTGCTGTTTTACTTTTCATTAGATTTTTCAGAAAAGTACAGCGAATTATTTTATAGTAGAATGCTGTTCATTGACAGAAAAGCTTTTTTCTTTTCTAGTGTAAACAGTTCCATTAGCATAGTCTATTAAAAAATGAACTGCAATTTTACCTGATAGATCTTGTGATAAAATGCTAGGCTGGGACTAGAACAGGTTTCATTTCATAATATTTTCTGTGCCTGTGCTCCTTTCCTTTTTCCTTTTCCTTTCCCTTTCCCTTTCTCTTTTCCTTTAAGATGCCACCAATCTTCCTCACCTTATCAACTGCTGTGCAGTTGAAATACAAAATATGTGGGATGGTGTGGTGAAGTGCATGAGAGAGAAATGAATTAAACTGAATTTCTGTAAATAATTAAGAAACAATCTTCTGGCAGTTTTAAGCCTACCACTTAAAATAAAGCAATGTACCAAATGTAGATATCACCTAAATTCAAACCAAGCATGACAGTCACCATGAGTTCAAGATACCCAAGCCTTTCCTGTTAAAAACAGTAACAGAGTTATCACTGGGCCACTGGTATATTCCCTGAGAGACCTGACTCCTGCTTCCCTGAGAAGCAGTATGTCCACAATTTCCATGTCATGTAGCTCTATTGGCCTTCCCTAGGACTTCAAAGTGATTGGGAAGGCACAGAATTTAAGCCAGCTCAATTATCAGAATATGACCCAGGGAAATTTCACAACACACAACTCTTCAAAATGCTCACTGTCCCTTCCTTCCACGCTTTAAGTGGCCTCAGAGCAGAGATGCGTAGGGTAGATTGTAAAAAACAGTGTTTTCTGTGAAAAGTAAACTGAATTCAGTGTAGAATTATTGATGCTACATGGCCTTAGGAGTCAAAGTGACAAGTTGTATTTTGGTTCAGTTGCAAGGACAAAGGACTAACTTATGCTAGGTGTTGAACACTGATGCGAGCAATTCCCTAACCCTACCTCCTCCCACAGCATCTTCTGTACAATCTGCTTGATCCATAGATCTGGAAGGCAAATTAACATTGGGTAACATGCAAGGAATAAACCTCCAATGTTCTTGTCTAAGGTGCAAAGAGGGTAAATATTAATTCATCTGGTGCTCTGGGTATTCATTTCTTCACACGCTGTGTTTCCTCTAAGTCTAGAGTGTTTCATCCGAAGCTTCTGGCTGCCTGCTCCTCACCAGCTACATGAGTGACCATGAAAATAAAGCCACAAATAGCATCTGGCTTTCAGTTTGCACAAATTGTAGCTATTCCTTCCTTCCTGACTGTAGTCATAGGTTAAAAGTTAGAGCATTCTCATGAAATGTACACTATTACTGACGTGTCCTACAAAATTCTTCAGTATCTCAGGTGCTGTTTGAGCCAATATCAACTTCCAGGGAGTGAGGGAGAGACCAACAGTTTTCTTCTCTGAAAAACAGATGCAATGAGATAATATTCTTTATATAACTTATTCTGAAAATACAATAAGCTTTGCTGCCCTGATGTAGTCAAAAATCCCTTGACCAACACCTTCTATGGGTTTGACAAACACCCTGACCCACACTACACGTTCTATAGGTTTGAACAAAGTGAAGCCAGGAGGACTGCTTTCAGTTAGCTATGCATTTACAAATGTTTACTTACATTCCACGGGCACATTTACTGAAAAAAGGCAACATCCTTGCCCACACTGAGTTGCTCCCTCATTCTCATGAAAACTCTAATGAAGTTTTCTGGGATTACTCACAAAAGATGATGCAGCTCAGTGCGCACAAAGCTGTTGTGGTACAGTCTTTCACCTGTTTTACTTCCCAGAAATTGACAGTGTTCTTGGAGCAACAGGATTTCTTTATAAAGTGATCACACAGAACAACAAGGGACTGATTCTTACTTTAGACAATGCTTTAAAGCTGTGATCCTGTCACATCTCCTGTATATAAGATACCCTCCATCTGCCTCAAGTCTTGAAGAGGCTGATCCTGTGGGTCTTACTCATACAAAACTCCCACAGAGGAGCTGAATGATAGCAGCTCTGAGTTCTCATCCTAGCTAAGTTGTATTGTTTGATATTTCAATAACAAACCAATAGTGGTACTGTTCAGAAAATTGGTTCTGAAAATGAAGCATTAGCTTCTCACTTTAGACTGACAGGAAATATTCTTCATGGTGAAATACACAAATGAACAGTTAAAGATCAGATGCTTGTTAAAATCAATATGGCTTTATAGTAACATTTTTTTCTTCCACAATAGTAGAGAAAAAGTGTTTCCACCAGCTCATCAGATGTAATCAAAGATACAAATGAATACATTTGAAACATATCTTCTCCCTTTTTCTTATGCAAAAGCTTCATTGGCTGCATTTTTCCTCGGTGTGCCATGAGACAACTTAGAGTGGAAGTACGACAGTGCAAGCTGCAGAGCTGATAACTTGTTATGAAATGTTAACAACACACAACGTTACAAATTCCAGTCTTCAGCTATTACAAGTAATAACAGAACACTAATTAAAAAAATAAATCAGCCCCGTTTTACTTCCTTGAAGCATATTCAGTAGTTACATTAAAAACAATATTTATAGAATCCTCTGTATTCACTAATTTAGAGGGAAATGCACTTAAAAGGGGTGTATACTGCGCATCCTTATTGATGAATATTATTTTACACCTAGCTGAGGAGAAATAAAATCCTCCAGACATGGAAACAGGTGAGTAACAGAGAAATTAAAACCACAGAGAATGTCCTGGTTTTAATATACTGCTATACATAGATGTTCAGTATCTGCATCAATCCCTTTTTAGGCATTTTGAAATGCAAAACAAAAACAGAAGCATTATATGATGATAACAGAATAATTTGATAGCAAAGAAATTACTTTTAAGGCACATCAGCCATTCCACACATATTTCACCTCCTCTTTAAACTTGTCAGTTAAATTTCATTGGACTCCATGAATTTTATGAAAACAAAGGAGAAGGACTGCACTTATAGACAACAAATCTGACTTAAAGAACAGTGCAATAGTGAAACTGCTGTGTTTCTGCAGACTGGGAATCCAATCAAAATGAATGTTAAGTGACAATACCAGACCCTTATCTCGGTAGGAATGGGTATCTCTAATGAAACTATCCAGTAGCTCAGAGGTAGTAGCTATATACCATATGTTGCTTTGGTTGCTCTGGCAATTATATAGTTTATTCATAAAAAACAAACCTGAACTTTTTAGCTACATGATTACCTAGAAACTATCTGATCTTGCTCAGCTCTTGTCGATGTCATTTTAAAAAGAATTCCCCATTTTACACAAGAGAAAATGGCTTGTAGTTTCCTCCTCTCAGTCTGTTGCTATTTTTCCTTCTATTTGTCTGTTTCAGGTACACGCTTGTACCAAAACAGTTGTAATTTACATAGGGATGCTCCTGAAAATGTCTGAACAAGCCTTTTTTAAATGCAAATGTTTAAACAAAGTTCAAATCTTTTTACAACTCCAAGCCTTATTTCAAGAAAGGACCCACTAAGTTATGGATTTAAGACATTGAAAATGTTTCAGTTGCTTCTTTAATGAAATTAAGCAAACTTTAAACGCGTTTGGTGCAATCCTCCAATCCTCACTTAGGCAGAACTCCCTCCCACTTTAGTTGGCCCTCAAGTTGAATTGTTTATTGAATTAACACCAGAATAGTAACCACCGCCAGCTTGCCTTTCCAGGGTTAAGTGAACTGAATGAAAAACTGATGAAACAAATCGACTGCTCTATCATTTCTTCTTCTGATGTAGAGATTTCAAAAGAAGAGAGGGCAAAAACACTTTCACACAGAAGAGAGAGAGTAAAGAAGGGCATATCTACTGATTTCCAGGTATAGATTTAATGTAGCTATTTCAAGAAGCCTGCTGTATATTTCATTCTATTTTTTCGAAGAGCTGCTTATTATGGAAAGGTTCATTTGAGGCAGATGCCAAATCCTACTACCTATGGAAGGAGTGATACACATAACAAAATGGAGCAGTATTTACCCCTGCAAACAGAATAACATCTTGCAGCAGCACAGCTGGAGAAAGGATGTAAATGTTCAGCTGAATCTTACACTCAGTACACACTCAGTGAGGAATACACAGACACCAGCCCCTGCTTCTAACTCTCTTCATTACAGTTTATGACATTTTGTATGTCATAAATCCATGGGAAACACAGCTTACTTTAATAACTATCCAAACACTCCTTCTCCCCCCTGGTCCCCAGCAAAATACTCTGAAATCATGAACTAGAAATGCAAACAGGAAAAGGGAAAGAAGGCAGCATTAATATTAAAGGTCTGGAACAGCTGCACCTTCATTTCAGATTTGTGCACACAAACCACTGACAACCTGTAATGTATGCTTCTCATTAAAGAAAATAAATAGAAAGGATTTACTTGCTCTAAATCTGTAAATACGAAGGATTTAAAGACCTCAGTGGTGTGGTGATTGCTCTTCCTTTGAAAATCTGCATAGCAGAGAGCCTCTGACTGCCTGTCTGAGGATAAGAGCAGCATCCATCCAGCCCTGAGATAAGCTTTTTGAGGGGGAACCTACAATAATGGGGAGAAAGTTCCCCACACAGTACATTTAAGTTGAGCTAGTTAGAAATTTGACTTCAGAAAAATTTTAGTTTGGTTCAGCAAAATGATTTTGTTTTAATGGAAATTGGTTTAAGACAGAATATTTGTCTTTAACAAGCCACCTGCTCCAGGATGGCAAGATTCTTAGGCCACTGATCTGAGAGCGATGGAGTAGGAATTTACTGCCTGGATCTCCAACGGGGGAAATAAGGTCATTGTGTGTATGTGCTCTTTATCATATTTCATGAAAACATGCAAAACTCCCAGATTTGTCCCACTGACAAATTTTACAGGAAGATAGGAAAAACACTTCCCAACCAGCTCTATGTGCGAAAAATCCCTCTAAAGAAAAAGAATACCCCATGCTTGACTTAAGCCCTGTGTAAAATCATCATTCAGAAGGTTTTAACAGTACAAAGGTTTATTTAGAAAAGAGTTTGGATTGTTCTCTAGGGTGGTTTTTTTTGTTTTTTGTTTTTTGTTTTTTTTTTGTTTTTTGTTTGTTTTTGGCAAACATTTAAATCCTTTCATAATCTAGAAGACTGCCAGTGCCTGGTGCCTAGCACTTTTCCCCAAATAAGCAGTAATAGCCAGTTTCTTACCGGGACAAGCCCATCCATGGCCATAGCTGCTCTGTTAATACTCAGATCCATTATTCCACCACAACTGCCACTTAATCTTTTCCTCTTGCTGTCTCTGTTTGTTTTCCCACAAAATGCAGAGCCTCTATAAGCTCTGGGCCTCTCCATTTCAGTGTCTTACCCAATTTCCTCTGTGGACTCCCTGTGTCCTCCATCAGGGTTCAAAGACAATTCCTCCCTTTCCTGTTTACTCATCCATACCCCAAAACAGCTCCTTCAGCACCATGTTGCCATTCTGCACCGCAGTGAACATGCTCAGCCTCCCTGATACCATCCCCACATCCCACCACACTCTGCACGACCAAGGGGGGCGAGCCCTCTTTCCTCTCTCTATGCCCCAACCCCCATGTTCTCTTCCCTCCCTTCTTTTTCAGCACAGAGCCTTTTCCTTCCCTTTTAACTCCACTTTTTGCTCAAGGCAAATTCACCCCTCTTATCCCTCCAGCTCAATGCCTAAAGTTCTTCTTCTTCTTCTTAAACAGAATGTGTTTAAAGGACCTGCGAAAGTCCTGGTTGAAGATGGTGTAGATGACTGGGTTGAGGGAGCTATTGCAATACCCAATCCAGAAGAAGAACTTGAAGAGAGTCTCAGGGACCTCACATGCCTCCCGGCAAATGCCATAGAGGCTGTAGCTGAAGAAAAAAGGAAACCAGCAAACTACAAAGACCCCCATGACCACGGCCAGCACAAAGGTAAAGCGTTTCTCCCGGGCCTGGGTGACCTTCTTACGGCAGATACTGCTACGCTTCCGACGACGGCGATATGAGAAGAATTCCACGGAGCGATTGCTAGAGCGGGAAAGACGGCTACTGGAGTGCTTGGAGGAATATGAGTAGGAGAAGGACTGGCTCTTGCTGCTTTTGCGAGGATGCTCCTCCCGGCTCCGCCTCCGTCTGCTTTCTGAGGTGCTGCTCTCCTCCAGCTCAATGTCCTCCAGCTCAGAGGCTTTGCGCCAGTGGTGCACTGAATAATGTCCGTTCTCTCCCAACTGCATCCTTAGGGACGTGCAGCCCCCAGCAGCGCGGCTTAAACCATTCTCAGTCTGGGAGGACCCCTCTGGCATCGTACGCTTCTCAGAGAGGGTCCTGGTCCTTAGCTTGGCCACACGGTAGATACGGATATAGACCAACACCATGATGAGGCAGGGTGCAAAGAAAGAGACAATGCAAGAAGAAAGAATGTACCATGTCTCATCATTGAGCTTGCACTGGGGAAAGACATCTCCTTCAGGGTCCCGGTACATGGAAATCAACGGCGGAAAGGAGATGACAGCAGAAATGAGCCAGACGGTGACAATGGTGGCCTTGATCCGCCGAGGTGTCCGCTTGAGGTTATACTCCACCGCCTGCGTGACCGACCAATACCTGTCAAGGCTGATAGCGCACAGGTGGACAATGGAGGAGGTGCAGAAGAGCACATCTAGTGCCAGGTAGATGTTGCACCACACTTTGCCAAAGTACCAGTAGTTCATCAGCTCATTGGCCAAGGAGAAAGGCATGACCAGAGTAGCCACCAGGATGTCTGCGCTGGCCAAGGACACCAGGAAGAGGTTCTGGGGGGCTCTCAGCGCCCGGCTGGTGAGCACAGCGATCACCACCAGCACGTTGCCCACGATAGTGAAGACGATGATGAAACCCACCAGGGCCGCCAGGCTGGCCACGGCAGCAGGCGAGTAGGGGGAAGGAGGCTGCAGGAGGGCGGCGGAGGACGGCGACGAGGGGGGCAGCAGCGCCAGGGACCCGTTGGGGGAGCCCAGGCTGGTGTTCCCCAGCAGCAGCAGCAGATCCATTGCGGGTGTGCGGGCCGCCGCCGTCCTACAGAGCCCCGCGGAGCCCCCGCCCCGCCCCACCGCCCCGCTGCCGCCCGGCCGCCCCCCTCATCGCCCCCAGCCGACGGCTCCGAAGGCTGCGCCGTGCGCCTCCCCCGACCCTCAGAGCACCGCCGCGCTGCCTCCGCCCGGTCCCCGGCGACGGGACAGCGGGGCACGGCTCTCTCCCGCCGCCCGCCCGGTCATGCCCGGCAGCTCCGCGCAGCCGCTCAGCCGAGGGGAATCGCCGGCGGGTGCTGGATCCTCGCGGGAAGCGGCGTCCAAAGCGGCAGCATCAAATCCCACGGGGAGCGGCGGCGCCCGGCGGCCCCGTTCCAGCGGCGCGGCAGCGCGAAGTCGCGGCTGCCCGCCGGCTCCGTCCTACTCTTGCATCGCGCTCCCAATCGGTGGCGTGCCCCGCCGCCGCGCGCATGCTCAGTGCCGCCAGGTGAAGCCGCCGCGCCCGTCTCGGCGGAACACCCTAACGGGGGGGAAGCAACACGGACAGCCCCGTTGCGTTGCCCCGCGCTGAGCGGCCGCGGCTGCAGAGCGATTCCTCTCCCCGCCGCCCTGACCCCGTCGGGGGTTTCTTCTTTTCGCGGAGGCGGCTGCGGCGCAGGGACAAAAGTTGGCGGTGCCACGAAGAGCTCCGGTCCGGCTGCCGGCGGCGCCGCGGCTGCTGCCTGCGGCGAGCTCTGCGCCCGCAAGGGGGCGACGTTGTCCGGCGGCGCCGCGCTGAATGGAGCGCCGAAGGCGGTGGCCGTACGACGTATTTGAGGGAGCGCGGCGTTAGGCAGAAACTTAGCATCAGTGTGAAATGTGAGCGGGTGGCTCGGGATGGGCCGCGATCCACGAGGAGCCCGTGGGTAACGCCGGGCTTCACTGAGTGCGGGCGTGGGAGGGTGGTGGCAGGAAGGTGTTACAACTTGGTTGTGAAAGCAGAGAGATCTAGACAGCATGGGAAAGAAAGCACCGAGGAAATTTTCCAGTGGTATTCCCATAGTTTGGACTTTCAGGCGCAGAGTTTTCTCTGCCTTCATTAGGCTCCATCTGGCCTGCTGCATCCAGGACCCCCGGCACAAGGAGGATGCAGAGCTGTTGGAACAGGTCCAGAGGAGACAGTGAAGATGCTCGAGGGGATGGAGCACCTCTGCTATGAAGAATGCTTGAGGGAGTTGGGCTTGTTCAGCTTGGAGAAGAGAAGGTTTCAAGGAAACCTTATTGGGAACAGATTTAAGCTAAAAATGGGGAGATTTAGATTGGATGTCAGGGGGAAGTTTTTCACAGAAAGGATGGTAAGGCACCAGCACAGGCTGCCAGAGAAGTTGTGGGTACCTCATTCCTGAGGTGTTCAAGGCCAGGTTGGATGGGGCCCCTGTGCAGCCTGAGCTGCTGCATGATGTTGCAGTTGGCAACCTGACCCATGGCAAGATGCAGTGGAAATGCTGTCACAGCTTGAATCAGTGATTGAGCACCTGGTGGGAAGGCAGGGCCAACCCTGGGGAGCTCAGCTGCATGCAGTGCACCTAAGTGACTGGAAGGGGTAGAGCCAGGATCCAGTCCTTCCCAGACTTCACTTAAGGCTTGGCAGTGGAGGGAAAGGTATCTCACTGGAGATCCCTGCCTACTGGAGGCCTTCCAAAGGTAAGCAGCTTCTTTCCCTTATTTTTGTACCCACATCTGTTGCGTTTGAGCGAATCCTCACTTGCTGTGGCCTGGGATCTTGCTGGTCTGCTGTCGTTGTGCTTTCCACCCCTTTATGTAGGGGATTGGAGTTAGATGATCTTTGAGATCCCTTCTGAGCTGTTTGTTCCATCAGTCTATGAAATGACAATAAAACTAAAGTCAGGGCTGCTGTAATACCTTTTTCTTTAGCTCAACCTCCCTAACAGAGGGTAGGAGTAGGCAGTTCAGTATAGCCCTAGTCTGATATGCTCTACATGGTCCTGAGAAAAGTCTCTGATGTGTTTTGGAGAATATGTTTTCCCAATCTCATTCCTGCCCACGATAGTCTCCTTATATTTCATACCGGTCTACTTATATTTCATACGTATCAAATCATCTTTCTGAGTGTGGTCCTGAGCACTGTCCTCCAGGTGGCCCTGCTTAAGCAGGACTGGACCAGATGGCCTCCAGGGGTCTCTTCCAGCCTTCTGATTTTCTGCAACGCTCAGATTAAGGTAACAGGAATGTAAAGATAATAGCTATATAAACAGTAGCTCTCTTCTGTGAGCCTAGCCTGGTGCCTAGATTTTGGATCACATGTTCTTCAAAGCAAGGACTGTTGCTCTGGTCTCTTAGCTGTTCTTTATTATTTTTATAATTACTATTATTTTGTGTTATGCTAAGTGCCTGTGCTTATATAAAACAAACAACAGTGGCATAACCTTACCCACAGAATTAGCTGTTCTCATTTAAGGTGAAACAGAATTCAAATGCGCTCATAGCCAGTTACTTCAGTAGTTGCTTTCAGTCCAAAATAATATATTCCTTTTATGTTGTGTGGCAACATTACCAGCTTGCATGAGATACCCATGTTTTCCCATTGTAATGCCATAAAAGATCTGGTAGAAGAGGTGAATAAATGACAGGTCTTGAAGGGTGCTGTGGTACTGAGAAACACAGCCTGATTCCATGGCTAGTACCAAATTTTGGAGTTGCCTGAACTTCATCATTACACTTCTGATTTCTAAGGGGAGGGGTCTGATGTTGTCCCTGTGAACATTACTTGTCTGAGCAGCTGTCTTATGTCACCCTTCTGTGCCCCATCTGGATCCAGAAATGCAATGTCCCTAGGACTTGGGAAGGTCACAGTCTGACTGACATGTTCTGGTTATTACTGCCATGATCATATTATTATAATGACAAAGCTAGACTGTGAAGGCACATGTACCAAAAATAACTTTCACTGTATAACTTGGTATTATAATGGTCCACTCATTGAAATAGAACAGCCTTTGCCTTTGGGAAGTGATAAGGAATATTCTGATTCCAGTTACTTTTTCAGTGCAGCCAGAGCTGCTCCTCTTTTCTATCTGTTGGGTATTTTAGGGACATGGACCAGATTATGAAGGATTCTAAGTGAATATGTTTGGCTCAGATAGGAAAGAAAAACCCTCTGGAGATTATGATCTAATTTAATCTATTTTGTAAGCAATTTTCTCTGAAGTTTTTGTTTGTTTAATTAACGAATACCTTGGTGTGAGTGTGTCTAAATGAGAAAAGATGTAATGTTGAAACTGAAATGTGCTAGTTAATGGGCTCTAATACAACTGAAACGTAGAAGCTGGAATCACCTGAACAATTACAGCGTAACATATAGAACAAAATGAGGTAGGCATCTGATGCTCTGTAAGTTCTCCTAAGTAGACAACTAATCTGATAAGGAGAGCTCTTTAAAAAAGTTTGCAAAGCCTCAGGAAGATTAAATGAAGGGAATTTGCAGCTAGTAAAGTTCAAACAGGAAGCAAAATGCACATTAGAAACATGACAGCTGACAAACTACTGAAGCAAATTCCTAGTATTTGTGGTTGGCTCTTCATATTTGAAAGTTTCATAACACTGTTTATGAACTTAGAGGAATAGGTTCAGGAATTTAAAGTCTAACCTTTAATGTGACAGACATTAGGCTGGAAGCTGGGAAGTTTGATCACACTGTTCAAAATGTAGTAAATAGAAAATGCAAAACCACATGAATTTTGGGGATTCAAGAGCTAACTGTCAGAAAAAGGGGATGTTAAACCCATGATATTCAATTCCCTTATTAGGGTGGTTAGGAAGGCAGACTGAGCTATCTGTCCTACTGAGTTTTACAAGCAAATATGTCTTAAATTTGTATGAGCTGCAACTTGAAATAAACTTTCAGCTAATAATTTGAGCTTCAGATTAAAAGCTTTTTCAACAGAGATAAAACTTTGCTCAAAGTAATACAAAAGTTTCATAAAGTAAGGAATTAGATAAGTGGATGTCTGAGCAATTATTTGGCAGTTCTAATGAGGAAGTGCCACTTGTAAAAGATATGGGAAAATTAAAAATAAATGGGGAGCAAAAATGTCTTTGAATTGAGATTTCTTTCACACCGTATTTGTGCTGTAGTACTGAAATGACTCAGTCACTAGTGCATGTCAACAGAGTGAGCCCTAGATGCGCATGTATCATTTCAGCTTTTATGCTACTGAAGCCAATGAAGACAATGTTTGGATTTTCTTATATGTAAGTGAGACCCGGTTGGATCCTGTGTGCCTAAATAGCAGCCTATGACCACACAGAGATGAATAAAGATAGATGTGAGAAACCTGCCCTCGTGAAAGTCTGCTTGTTCTACTGAGAGACAAAGGTAGGAGCAGGATGAACAATGGAGGGTTAATCAAATGTATTTGTGCTTTTGGAAATCAGTGATTTGTGATAAAGCAAAGAATAAGGCTATAAGACTTATAGAAACCTGGTAAGGTAGGTGGTCACCTTGCTACTCATCATCATTTCAAAAACCTGCTCTTAGACTGATTCAAATTCCTCTCACTGTATTTTGTTCGTCCTCAGCGGTGGCTTTCTGACACTCACTAACTCCTAACTATTGGCCTGCGTTGGAACTCATGCTTGGTAGGTGTTAATAGGCTCCCAGGAATAAAAGACTGTTTAGAGGTTGGATGAGGTTTCTCTAGGCAGTGGACTGGACATAGCCCTGTCTTCCTGAACTAATCCAGTACATACTGTGCTGTACACATCCATCTACTGTTCAGCATGCTCCTTTGGTTTCCTCATCCAGAATTAACTTTGATTAATCTGTTTGAAATCTATTCTTCTGTATGAAAGAATATTTCATTGACAGTGTAGGGGATTGAGACCAAATTAAAGAACAGTTGATTTGGTTTGTTTGGTTTGGTTTGGGTTTTTTTTCCCCCTCAATGAGGAACTAAGTCAACATGCTGAAGTCAGTATTATATTTGAACTAAAAGTAATGGAGAAATAGAGAGTGGCATTAATTCAGTCCTTTGGGACCAAAGCTGGGATAACTGCAGAAATAAGTTAGATTCTCCC